AGTTAGGATTAGGGTTAGGGTGAAAATCACAGGGTAATTTAGGCCAATTATTGCAGATCATTTAATGCTGGTCATCTGGTAGCAAGGAGTCCAACATATATAAACAATATTAAATATACTATTTAATATTTGATATACTATATAATAATTTAATAATTGGAATCATGTAAATATTAATTATAAATTATAAATATTAATTATTTGTGATAAAATTATAAATTTTAATTATTTAATTAATAAATTAAACCAATTTGACTACAATCAAGCCAAAAATCTTTTACCATATTTTATTAATTAATAATTTGGTTAACTCTAATAATTCATTATATAAAATTAAAAAAGCAAAAGGGAAATAATTATATAAATTATAACCAAATGACGATTTAAAATAACTTATATGATTAATGTAACTATAAATTTTTTGAATAGTATAAGAGGTTTTGAAAAATTAAAAGCATACTACTATATTGATAAACAATATATTTATACAAGATCATAATATTCATAAGAATCATAATATTTATAATTGTGATTAATACTAATTTTTACCAATCCACTTAGTTAAAACTTTTTCAAGTTTATCAGCTTTCAGGGGTTTTGCAAGATAATCATTTATTCCTAACTCGATACATTCGGGTTGTATTGCCTCCGTGGATAAAGTTGTTAGAACAATAATCGGTATATTTGAGATTGGTGGTCTCATTGCTCTAATTGCTCGTGAAACATCAAACCCTGACATTATTGGCTGAATACAATAATTAATTCAATAAATTGTGAGTATTTTATCATTATAGTATAATTAACAAATTAAGCTTACCAAATTACATTCAGTTAATATTAATGATATTCTGCAAGACTTTATTTGATTTATTTCTGAATTGAATGAACTCGAGTACGAATGTCTTAATAATTTAGTTTCAGAATCAACCAATTCTAACGCCTCTTGCCCATTTGACGCAGAAATTGTTGAATAACCAAGTTTCGAAATTTGTTGCAATGTGTTCTAAAATAAAATAAATTAAAGAATTTATAAATATTACGAGCCTACATAATTAAACCTTAATTACCTCTAAACTTATAGAATCATTATCCTACAAATATTGGTAAACAATTGATTAAAGCGTATCATATTAAACAAGCATGCATTATTTGGCCGGAATAAATGCATACCACACATAAAACACATTTTCTCCCAAAATCACTTTCAGTTACGTCCTCATATATATCTTGGTTCGCATCTCCAATCTTATAAAGTTCATAATCTGCTACTCGATTTAGAATATTTGTATTTTTATCAGTTGTAATGTTTTTTTTCCATATGAATAATTTGATTAATTAACTTTTTTAATGTAATTGGAGTGTAAATAACAGAGGTAATTCTCCCAAGCTTTCTAATTAATTTTCTTGCCAACCCAATTCCTTCAGTATTCGGAAATACTATAAAAATTATAATTAATCTATTACTATCCATATCCAATGCCTTTAACTTTAATGATGCTTTCATGACTTCTTCTTCATTATCTTCATAAAGGCCAATGAATGCTATATCATAAGCTGATTGATTATACAATTCTTTATATGTTTGGGCAGCTTTAATACCTTCATCAAAGGCATCGAATGCATCAACTTTATCAACAATTTTTAAATATTTTATCATTGTGTTTCTCATATTTTTGACAGGGTGAAGTATTAGTATTCGTTTTTTCTTATAAAATTAGGTAATGTATAGTTTATTTGCTTATCATATTGCGTCTCTAAAAACGAGGAAGTTGGAAGTTCTGAAATAGTTGGTGTCATCGATGATAATAGTTCAATGTTCCATGTAAACCAAAATGTGCTTCCTTCACCTAACTGGCTTTCTGCTTTAATTTCTCCTCCATTAATTTCTACTAGATTTTACAAATTGAAAGACCAAGTCCAATACCATCTTGCTTCCTGGTTATTGACATATCACCTCGTGAAAAACTTTCCCAGGCATGTTGTATATATTCAGGATTCATGCTATTAATATTAAATAAATAATTAGATAACGTACATATTAAAACATTAAATCTATAGTAATAAGTAGCTTACCCAATACCAGTGTCATATAATTCAATTAACAGAATTCCACTTTTATTCATTTTGTTTTCTTCAATATCTTGTGACAACATTGAAATTGTCAGTACAATTTCACCTTTTTCAGTAAATTTAATTCTAAAAAATTAACACAATGAATCACTAGTGTATAAAAAAAAATAAACGTAAACATAATTACAGAATTATGTAAACATAATTACGAATTTGATAATAAATGGAATAAAACTTGTTTCAGCCTATTTAATATAAAAGACAAGATAAGTATTTATTTATTTTATAAGTTGCAATAGTTTTAATCACCTCTCAGGATCACTCCTAACATATCTCGGCAACTTATCAACATCATAATTTATGATCAATTCAATTTTTTTATTTCCTGCACTTTCCCCAAATGTTTCAACAATGTTCTCAAATAATTCTAATAAATCAAATGTTCTATTTACAAGCGTGATTTTGTGTGCTTCTAATTTTGCTGCATCGAGAATATCATTTACGATCGATAATACTACATCAGAAGCACGTGCTATGATATTAATCATGTCTTTTTGATTAGTAGTTAAGTTAGCATCTTCAAAAGAAGAAAGAGTTCCTATTATTGCACCTAATGGTGTTCTTAATTCTATGAAATTAAAATTAATTAGCATGATAAAGATGATTTTAGAAATATACGTAAAGAAATTAATATACCATGAGAAGTATTTGCTAAAATTTGACTCTTAGTATAATTTGCAAATTCAGCAGCTTTAATTTGAATCTCCTTTTCAAAATTCTCTTCTACTAAAATTTATATGAGTAATAGATAAACTTATTTGATTTGAGATTTGTTGTAAAAAGTCTATTTCAGAATCGAGCCAAATAGAATTTGGAGATCTATGTACTTTGATCCATCCCCAAAGATCATCATTTAACCTTATTCCTATAGATAACAGATACATTTTTACAAACATAATCACAATATACATCAAAAGAAATATCTATTCCTGAACCATTATTTAAAAATTCTTTTGAATTATTAAATGTTGATAATTAACTCTCGTCGTTTGCGCTAAGCTCCATAGGTGAATTTTCCGAGCTTTCATAGAGAGCAATTATTTTATTACTCTCAAATTCCGATTGTTCATTTGAAATAATAACGATTCTTTCACATGGTAATCTATGATAGATTTCTTTAGCAACATATTGTAATGTTTCTTTCATACTTGATCCAGAAAATATTTTAGTCGAAATTGAAAGTAGTAACGCTTTATTTTTTCCTGCTCAAATCGTTGAAATATTATTTTACGACGAAGAGTCGATAACTCAAGATTAGTACGAATACGAATAATTAGTTCACGAGTAGAGAATGGTTTTACTAAATAATCGTCTGCTCCTTTATCTAGACCTAAATAAAAAAAGTAGTCGATACATTAAAAATCAGATGTAAAAATAGATTTTCCAATTTATTAAATTACCTTTAATTTTAGAATCTTGCCATTTTCTGCGGACAATAATATTATTGGGATAAATTGAGTCTTTATATTAGATCTTAATACATCCAATAACTCATATCCATTCATATTTGGCATCATGATATCTATTAAATTCAAATCATTTAATTTAATGATTATTATAAATCACACACACACATATATATGATTAAAATATAATTACTTGCCACTGAGAATTAAATCAGGTAATTTATCAAGTTTTTTTAAAACTTTTAAAGCATCCTGACCATCACAAGCGTGGAGTATATCAAATTCTTTTAACAAGTATGCGAGATAATCTCTATAAATATACCAATAATAATAAGGAGCAGTTTATAGGTATAACTTAATTAGATAAATAAATTATTACCTCATATCATTATTATTGTCAACAAGTAAGACTTGATACTTTTTTCCAGAAACAGGATTATTCGTGGGTAAAAGAAACGAGAACTCTTTTATTAAAGTTTTATCACTATAATCAATCGGCAATTGATCCATTATATCATTTTTGGCTTCAGATGTATTATTTTTTGTCCATAGAGAACATTCTTCCAAATAAAGTTGTCGATTAGTGTAATCAAGATCTATTGGATTTTCAATTTCAAAGTGTATTTGTTTTATTGGCAAATGTTTATATCCTATTGGAAACCAACATTTAAATGTCGTCCCTGCATTTACTACTGAGGTTACA